TATGCTGGCTTGGACTTAGAGGGTCCAGCCAGCCAGCAGCAGGGCAGGTCAACCAGGTATGCTGGCTTGGACTTAGAGGGTCCAGCCAGCCAGCAGCAGGGCAGGTCAACCGGGTATTTGGGCAGCAAAGTCCTGACCTGCCTTGCCTGGTAGGCAAGCAGGTAGGCCAGGCACCCCCACTGGGGTCACTTGGGAATTTAGGGCAACAACGCCCTGGCCTGCCTAGCCTGGTAAGTGAGCAGGTGGGTCAGGCAATCTCTCTGGCCCTTAGAAGGTCGCAGCAGGCCAAGTGCCCACCCAAACATCTGAGAGACTTTGTGAAGTTGCTGTCAAATCATGAGGGTTCTGTTCAGGAGGCCCCTGAATAACGGGAGTAACTCGGGTAGATTATTTTGTATTATTTTTTGATTTCGAATACATTTATTGTATGAATAAAGTTGAAGGGGTTTTGCCTGAGTATTTCACATTCCTTGCATTTGATTAATGAAACTATATAACACTCTTCCCAATGTATGACGTACATGTGTGTGCACAGGTATGTTCCATCTAGGGGGGAGAGGTGTTGTGTCCTGAGCCTGCAAAAGCAGGCTCGGGACGTTTCATTGGTCCCGGGCATTCCAAAAGCTGCCCAGGACCAGACAGAGTGGCGCCAGCCTTGTGCGCATGCGCAAGGCATGAAAATGGTCTGTTCTATTGGTGGACGTTGTCCGGGTTTCTGGCCATATAAAAAGGCCTGCGTGCCTTTTGTTGTTATTCGAGTGTTGTTAGAAGAAGAATAAAGAGCTGTTTAACATCGCCATGTGTCTTCATCATTCGCACGCGAATGGAGTACTTAACACCAGGAGTGGAGTGAGAATGATTAAATGATTACCTTAGGAAATACTCAGAAACCACTACAGTACTGAAAGTTAAATACTTAGTGGAAAAGTACATGCATTGTTTTTGTTTTCTCTGGGTGTTCTGCTGCTGCCGAGAAAGGTGATGTAGGTCAGGTGTATGGTTTTCTGTATTTCCTTTTTCTCAAGGTATCATTTCACTGCTGTTCTTTTTTCTCCCTGAAATGAAGCACAGGAGTGATTCACCCAACCAAGGATTCTTTGAAATGTGGTAATAACCCAGTGCTGGGCCACTAGATTTAGTTGAATGATAATAATCACACAAGGCCATATAAGTTCATAAGCAAATATCTAACTTTGAGCACTTCTGTATGTGGTTTTTATACCACTCTAAAACCAGCACTGCACCAGTATGATCTAAGCTACTGGCTTGGCAGTTGTGTTGATTTATTTTGATCCCTTAGCACACTAAGAATTGCACTGAAGACAATATTTCATTTAAAAAGGTTGTGACTTTGCTGACTTTATGAGAAGTCTGTTTCCCATTTGGGGATTTGCCATTAAATGTAGCTGAAGGATAGCAGTGGCTTGCAACTCTCCTTCATTTGGAACAGTTCAGAAATTGGAAATCACCAGGGAAATGAACTCTTAGTAGTCTAAAAATGGACAAAGAAGACAAAGAGCATTGACCGAATTCCATTCTTTGCACTCTAGTATTATTGGAGGAAGCAACAATACTCTTAATGCTTTTGAGATCAGTAATAATGAAGATGATTTTTGCTTGATTTCAAACTGCTTTTGAAGGACTGGTAGGTGGAAATGATGGCAGTGCAGGAATGCCCATGGTTATTATTAAAACAAGTGTCAACAATGATTGAGAGTTTTCTTTTTTATGTGGACAATAGAATCAAATAAAAGGACAGGTTTTGTTATTGTAGAACTTGTCCCCATGAGAAACTTATCTAGATCCGGTGTCCTCAACTCCCAGTCTCTGGACCAGTACCAGGCCGTGGCATGCCAGCAACCGGTCCACACAAACAAGCAAAACCCCATCTGTGGGATGCAGGCAGCACACAAAACCATGCACTCTCCGGTCTGTGGAAAAACCTTTCTCCACAGAACCAGTCCCTGGTGCCCAAAAGGTTGGGGACCTCTGATCTAGATGTAACATACCAGTGTCTTCATGTTACTGTATGACAATACAACAAATATTCCCTACAGTTTTATGTTCTACAAATATTCCCTACAGTCTTTGCCAACTTCTTGCTCCCAGGATACGCTATGACTGCAGCCCCCAGAATCCCCAGCCATTCAATAGTACTGACTGGACATTCTAAGGCTATATTTACATAACAGATATTATTATCTTACCTATGGTTTATCCAATTGACTGTGTTCAGACAATACTCTCTGTTGTTTGTGCCTATGGGAAGCCAACAAACCACACATGAAGAATTTGCAAAACAGTCATTGCCTTACAGTGATATTAAGGTAGTGTTTCCTCTTTTAAGCTCACAGTAAAAAACAACTGCTGGAAAATACATTAAATCTGTGACTTCACTAGTCCTTACATTGGAAACAAAAATAGTAGGCAGTTTATAATGGGTTGGACAGAGAGGCACTCACTGGCCATTTCAGGCTGGTGCAGGACACTCCTCCCTCCAACTTTTGTCCCTGATTAGCTTTGGCTTTCACACTTCTGCTGTTCTTTCTCTAAAGTGCTAAGTACGAGAGCCCTGTGACTGGAGCTTCTGGTCAGGGCAGAACTGTGCAAGAACATTACACTGTTCCACCAGCCATGTTGCATGAGTTTAAAATCCATGTCCATCATTGGCTTAGTGCAAAGCTGAAAGATTATAACAGTAGAATGAGAGCTGAACTATTTATTCCCTAGCAAAAAGGCTCACCAAGCCTGGGCTGTCAATGTCTGAATGGCCACAAGATAGTAGCAAAGAGTTTTCTTTACCTGCCTGGAATTCTGCATCTGACCATTACTTTTGGAGCAAAACCGGGAAGAATTTGGAAATCGGTTCTTCAGTTGTATTTATGGCCAAAAGGCCCGAAAGAGGAAGCCAGTTGTTGCTGATATAAAGGAAGAAGGGAGGGAGGGAAACTAAATGAAAGTGCTACTCATGATTGTTATCTTTATGACTCTGGTTTGTTTTGTTGTTACTTAACCTGGATTAGGCCAAAATGGGAAGTAGAAACAGAGAGGAAGAATGCAGTCTTCCAGGAAAACTATCCCATTCCTGCTACTAAGCTGTGACTGGCAGATGTTGTTTCCCAATGGCTGGTGATGAAAGGGAAAGTCAAAATCAACCAATTATTTTGCATGAATCTGCACAATACACACCTAATCAAGATAACATCATTCAACAATGATTTGAATGATGCAATAGGAGGAGGATAGGGATGAACAGCAAGCCCATGCTACTACAGTTTCCTATCAGTTCAAGAAAGGGTGGAGAGAGCTTTAACAGTGGCAAAAGGCACAGTACAACTACAAGGGGAAAAGCTGACTTAGACAAATTATCGGAACCCTACCTAGTACAAGTGGAAGACAAAGAACTACTTCCAAAAACAGAGCATCTGGTAGTTTTCCCCACAAAGGCAGCCATATCCTACTAAAGTGCTTAAAAGATTCTTCCCCATAAATAGCACAGATGCTTTGAACCTAATTCTGCCTGCAATACAAGAGAGAAAGAGGGAGGGGTGCCTTATTCTGAAAGGGAAGGCTGCTGGGTATGAAAGGGTTACTGGCTGTGGTGCTGGCTTCTCTGGGGGCAGGAAAAAGCAAGTGCAACGCAGTGAGGTCAGCAGTACCTTCCACTTCCCTGGGGCCCCTTGCCTGACAATGTCAACATTTCAGCGCATTCCAGCCTTCCACAATAAGAGCCTTCATTGCTCGTATTTCCTGACCTCTTTGAATTAAAGCATCTGAAGTTAAATATATATGCAGCCTGGCTGGCGCAAGCACACGCATAAACACACACACACACACAGAACATGCTGCACCAAAAATAGACTGATGGAAAACTGTCTGCAGCTGTTGCTGCATAACACTCATTAACTGTGTCAAGCTGATCAGCGAAAGAAGTGTGGGGGAGAGACGGCGACAGGATGTGCAGTTTAGGACAGCAAACTTGGCAACTCTGAGATAAGTGGACTTCAACTCTCTGAGGCTTATTCGTCATTTGTTTATTTAGCAAATTTACATGGCTGCCTATCGCACAAAAAACAACTCTAGGCAGCACACAACCATTAGTTAAAACAATAAAGGTATAAAAACAGCCATCATTAAAATATTGAAACAGTCATTCTTAAAATGAAAAGCCACAAAACACAAGAGAACTGAGTATTAACTGCACTATGGGAGCTGTCTAAAATTTCGCAGATTTCCTGGGACTCCCAGGCCTGATGTTCTAACCAGGTCTTGAGGAATACCCTGAAAATCAACAGGGTTGAAGGCCAGGGCCAGGGCACTGGAGGGCTCTCCTGGAAGCCACCCTGTGCAATTCCCTAGCAGATGGGACCTGCAACATGCCTTCTCTACCAGATCAGAGGGGATCAGCAGTTATATTTGGGAAGAGGCAGTTCCTTAGGTAACCAGGTCCCATGTCCTGAAGGGCTTTAAAGGTTAAAACCAGTACCTTGCATTGAAGCAAACTGGCAACCAACACAACTTGCAGAGCAGAGGTGTGTCATGTGCTAGAAACACACATAGCTTCCTGCATCATTGCATTTTGCACTAATTGAAGCTTCTGGATACTGTTTAAGGATACTCTTAAAAGGCAACCCCATTACATTACATTACGCATTACAATAGTCCAATCTGATGGTGACTAGGACATGAGTAACTGTGAGCAGAGCCCCACCCAAAAAACAAGGAATTGGCACAAGTGACACACAACATAAAGTTGTGAAAAGGCCCTCCTAGCTACAATTGCCACCTGCTCTTTGAGCAGTAGTCGTGAGTTCATGGAAACCTTTTTTGAGGGAGATGGACAAGTTAGAAATAAGACACACATACTTCAGATTGCACACTGAGTCTGTGTGACCCCACTTGGCACAAAAATGGCATAGTCCTAGAACTGGCAGGCCTCCAAATCAAAACTCCCTCAGTCTTGCCATGATTCAGCTGAAGCCTGTGTTCCTTATACAGACCTGTTCGTACCTTTTCTGCTCTTCTTTGGCTTCCATCCACATTTAAATGAATACAAGTACAGTACAGAGAAAGTCTCCGATTGCGGGTTTTGCTCATTTCCTTCAAAGAAACACTAGTGAGCACAACTAGTGGCCTGGATCATCTTCTCTATATGCTCAATGCATATATTATTGTGCCTTCCAGTCAGTGTTGACTCCTGGCAACTGCCTGGACAAGTCCCTGCAATGTTCTTGGTGAGATTTCAGAAGTGGTTTGTCCCCCGCCTTCTTCCCAGGGCTGATAGAGAGTGACTGGCCAAAGTCTTCCAGCTGGCTTTGTGCCTAAGGTGGGACTGCAACTCATAGTCTCCAGGTTTCTAGTCTTGGGCCTTAACCACTACACCAAACTGGTTTTTATACACTGAATGAGTGTCCTCTGATATTTATGTATCATTTATGTAATATTTTCTTGTCCCAGATATTCCACAATCAGGTCAATTTAGAAAAGTGTCCTTATTAGTAAAAACTGTTTTGGTAGAAACTGCTGCCATAATAGATGCCTCAGAACCTGACTTGTTGGTTCAATTCTTTTCACCCAATTTCCTACTTGCACATTCTTCCCTTTTTATCTTCCCTTTTTTTAAAAAATCAGATGTTGCTGCTTTGATCCTCTGAATTCCTGTGGGTGGGTGGGTGGGTCTCCACTGAGACGTCTACCCTTCAGATGCCCCCCCCCCCCGCAGAAAATGATAGGATAGAAGGCAGGGCACCACAAATATAACCTTCATTCTAGAAACAGCTGTCTTTTCCCCTGAAGGCATGAGGGGAGTGGGGGTGGGGGTGGGGAAGACAGAATAGGAGGGGTTTGTGGACAAGCTTAAATTGTAAAACTAATCTGGTGCTAGAAGGGGTAAGGCAAATGATGTTTGAAACGGGATAAAAATACAACTCACTCAAATCTCTTAGAGTCTGGCTTAACCTTGCTTTCACTCTGCAAAGGAAGGATGAGCTTGAATTAGAAACAGAATGTTCCTTCTGTCTAGCCTCTCTAAGCTGCCAGCACTACTCCGTCATAGCAGTAAGACTGAATCTTACATATTGATTTCTGGCTATTAGGGTGGGACTTTCCTCCCTTTTTCCTTCATTAATATCAAGAGCAAAATATTGGAATGGCTCCAAGATGATCTTTGGCTAAGTATGTCTGCTTCATTTTTAAAAAAAAAATTTTTGGGGATCTAAGCTAATTCCTTGCCACGATTCTTCAGCTATGCGAAAAAAAAGTTATGGGTTGGCATGCTACAGCAGCTGAAGCTCTATGCCAGGGGTCTTCACACTTGGCCCTTTTATGACTTGTGGACTTCAACTCTTCCTCAGCCAGGCACGCTGGCTGAGGAAGAGTTGAAGTCCACAAGTCATAAAAGGGCCAAGTGTGAAGACCCTTGCTTTATGCCATCTAATTCCACTCTGCTTGCCAAAGGAATGCCTTTTATTTCACATTCCTTGCAGTAAATTGTGGATAAAACTGATTTAGCCAGTGGTTAACCCTAACCCTTAGCCTGCAAGACCTCTTCATTGGTCATTTAACTATATCACATAGGGAGACTCCTTATTGGCTGCAGGCTGGCCTTAGAATTTTCTGCAAAAAATGGGGGGGGGAAACAGAAGGGAATACCCACTTACCCCCCCCCCTTCAGAATTCCTTCTGTCATATTTTTCAGGCCATCCCCAAAGGCATATGGAGAATTGCAGGAGCTGTAATCCGTAAGCTCTTTGGAGGTGCTAAATTGGAAGATTGTATAAAATAGGACATCCTGGGACAGCCAGGTTCCAAGACTCAGCAATTGGCTGGGTGATTTTAAATCAGTCATTACCCGTCAGCCTATTCCACCCTTGTTTTCAAGATTTAAGGGAGAATCTTATCCACAGCCTTGATGCCTTAAAAAAAAATAAAGGAGAAAAGGTATAGTGCAGGGGTCTGCAGCTTTGACAACTTTAAGACTTGTGGATTTCAGCTCCCAGAATTCCTCAGCCAGCATTGTCAAGGTTGCAGACCTCTGGTATAGTGAATAAAACTAATATGTGAACGTATTTTCTTTGGTTTTCCATGTACAACTAGCAAAGGTATTTCTGTGATCCAATTTACAATCTGGAAGGGCAGAAGATCAACATTCATTGATAGATTTTTGGGTGATTGTCAAGAGATCTGCACGGGAGTCTCTCGATTCCAAACTGCTAAGCAGCAAAACGTTTCCTCTGCACACCAGGCCTAGTTTGGGCTGCTAAGATTAAGGCCTTACCAGTGCATCCCCACTGCGTCATCAGATTTCTGCAGCTCTTCTGCCTCAGCTGCTGCACAGGAGGACGGGCGTAAGATCAGTTCTACAGCATTCACACTGGGGCTGCGAAGTGGGTGGATTCCTGGTGGTGAGAACTCTCCACTCCTCCTGTCTCTCCTTCCTTGGCTCTTCCCCTCCCTTCTCAAATGAGGTGTGCCATGCAGGCTCACCAACGTGTCATTGTGTTTTTAAAAATTCATCACTATTCTCTCCCTCCAGTTGAAGTCAAGGCAGGAGGTGCTAGCTATGACTTCACTGTTTTCTATACTGAAACAATGACAAGGAAGTAGCAACAAGGGAGAAGCACAGTGGGGAAGGGCACTGAGCAAAATACAACATTGGTGTGTTGGAAGAAGTGCTGGTCAGCTGATGGGGAGGGCTCAGCATTACAAGAATGGAAAACTGAAGATTCCTGCAGGTCAGTGAGAAAATGCTTTAGAGAGGTAGTGGGTAAAGTGATGGCTGTGTGCAAGTGCCCTATGCATATGTCCTTTACATTAAGTTGTGGCTTGAAAGAGTCTTGTGAAAAATCAAGGTTGATCCTAAATCTGAATTGCACTCACCTGGATTTATTTAATAAAATAAGTCACCTTGAACTGCCTGTAGGTAAGATGGGTGGCATGTACGTTTAATAAATTAAAAAAGGTAATTTCTTTCATTCTGTAGATTCAGAATACTATTTGCACTGTTGCTTCTCTAGGCCAAATGGCAAGTGAGCTCAGATGACAAAAGGGAAGGCTCTGTTTAGAAACAAAGTCTAAGGAGAGAGGGGCATTTCTCACTGCTATTCACATCACTGTAGATACTTCAACACAGTTGTTCAGGGGACAGATATATACTAAATGTAATAAATATATATACTGAGCATGAGCACATTTTATTTTTGGCTGGTGTAAATAGAGTCTTCCACCAAAGCAGAGCAGCTGCTTCCACGCCAGGCAGAAGCCGCTCCTGCTTTGAACATGAACTGATTTAGATCGTTAGGAAGTGTTATTTAGAGGAGCCTGAAATTATTTGGCAAGTCTCAGGGCTTAGTCATCCAAAGGAGGTGGGACTTTACATGTGCCACCGCCCCTCAGCTGTTTTTTAAATCTTAACCAAATCGCTCACAGGCAGTCTCAGTGTTTGGAGAATGAGTAAAGAAGGAGGGGAGGGAGAAGCATGGCTAGAAAGAACTTACAAATCAGCCTCCATGGCCCAAGACTTTCTAGCTCAGATGAAAGAACATGAGGAGATGAGCAGTGTTAAATAAGATATGGAAATACTGTGCCCACTGGGAAGACTATATAGAAGCATGAACAGCTTGGGTATTGTTAGAAAATGCCTCCAGTCGGAGGCTTCCTGGCACAAAGTAACCACCAGAGTCTCAATATCCTTCAGATGCACATGTCCATGTAAACATCATATGAACAATTTGGCTGATCCATCTGTTGCTGCAATGAACTGCTTGATTTTATAGAGGGAACCATAGCTGATAATAATGGCAATAGCAGAGGCACATAGAATAATAACATTTCTATTGTTTGGCCACTGTGTGGAAGGAAGCAAGTTTAAAGAGCAACTTATTTAAAGAACAACTTATTTTCTACTTATTAAAAAAAACAGCAAGCAGGATTTGCAGCAAAAATTTGCAGTGTGGATTTGTATGGACTTCAGTCATCCAATGAAGTTTTTTTGCAGGCTATTTCATTTCATACTCCTCCCCCCCATCCCTCTGAGTTCAATTTTCCCTTTGGCTGCATTCTGTATCTGAGCATGTCAGTACCCACTGGATTAGTCTGTGGGTTTCTGTTCCCTTATGACAGAAGACAAATCCCCAGTATGAAGATAGGACAACCCGCTAGTTATTTCAAGACATATCAGCAGTCTGTAACTCATAGTCCATCTACAGTTGAGGCATTAGGTCAGACAGGTCAAACTCGTGATGTCACGTGACGTCACACAACATATCGGGACGGTTTTGCCATTGCCAGCAATAGGGTAGGCGCAGCTTCTGGATGATGCGTCTGGCCCGCGAACTGGCAATTTGACACCGCTGCATTAGGTGCTCTGCCTTAGAATCATAGAAACATAGGGCTGGGAGAGACCTGGGAGGTTCTTCCAGTTCAACCCTCTGCTCATGGCAGGAGAACTTATGTCATTTTGGACGAATAGTTGTCCAATCTTTTCCTGAAAATCTCCAGTGTTGGGAGGCAAGCGGCTCTATTGCTTAATTGTTCTCATTATCTGGAAGTTTCTCCTTAGTTCCAGGTTGCATCTCTCTTTAGTGAGCTTCCATCCATTGCTTCCTGTCTTACCCTCAGGAGCTCTGGAGAATAAGTTGACTCCCACCTCTCTGTGGCAGTCCCTCATATACTGGATGACAGCTATCTTGTCACCCCTAGTTCTCTTCCTTAGGGTAGACTATCTAGTTCTCTTAACCATTCCTTGTATGATTTATCCTGTAGACCCCTTATCATCTTAGTTCTTGTCTACACTCTTTCCAGAGTTTCAGCACCTTTTTGTGTCATGATGAGCAGAACTGGATGCAGTATTCCAAGTATGGCCTCACTAGTGCAGTATAAAGCTATACTATCACTTCTCATGATCTTGATGCTATCATTCTGTTGATGCAGTCTAGGACCATATTGACTTTTTTTGGCAGCTGCAGCACTCTGCTAGCTAATGTTTAAATAGTGATCCACTAGGACAGGAGTGTCAAACTGCCGGCCCACAGGCCGGATGCATCATAGCGAAACTGTGCCTACCCCATTGGCAGCAATGGCAAAAAAGTCATGATACATCGCAACATATCACATGACGTTGCGAGTTTGACACCCCTGCACTAGGACATCCAGATCCCTTTCCCAGTTATTACTGCTGAGCCAGATACCACCTACTACTCTATATTTGTGCATTTGCTTTTTCCTGCCTAGGTGCAGGACCTTACTTTTCTCACCACTGAACTACACCACTAAACTTAATCTTGAGTTTATCCTCCAAAGAGTTAGCAATTCCCCCCAGCTTGGTGATGTCTGCACATTTGATGAGCTCTCCTTTTACCCCCTCATCTTGATTATTTAGGAAGATGTTGAAAAGCATTGGCCCCAAAACAGAGGTTGAGATACCCAACTGTATGCTTCCCTCTATGTAGATGTAGTTCCATTGATAATTACATGCTGAGTGTGGTTGGACAGCTAGTTGTGAATCTATGTGGTGTGCTGGTACAGTCTATTCCATATTGTTCTATCTTACTAAGAAGTAGGTTGTGGTCTATTCTGTCAAATGTCAAATGTCTAAATATATTACCATATCAACAGCATTTCTTTAATCCACTAATTTAGTCACTTTATTAAAGAAGGCAGTAAGATTTGTCTGGCATGATCTGTTTTTAACAAGCCCATATTGTCTTCTGGTAATCGTTTTGTTCATTTTTAAATGCTCACAAATCTTCTGCTTAATTATCTTTTCCAGGGTTTTCCTGGGTATTGTTGTTAAGCTGATTGGTCTGGTTTTGAAAGTTGGAATTACATCAGCTCTTTTCCAGTCCTCTGGTAGTTCCCCAATGCTCTAGGAACTGTGAAAGATTTTGCTCAGAGATCCCAAGTTCACATCTGCCAGCTCCTTCAGAACCCTGGGGCATGAACCATCTGGTCCAGGTGATTTAAACTTGTCTAGAGTGGATAGGCATTTTCTTACCATTTACTTGCCTATTTTGATCTCCATTTCTGTTCCATCTCCTGCAATGTTGCTTTTGGTAGTTTGGTCTATTTTTTTTTTCCTTTTGTGTGAAGATAGAGGCAAGGAAGGTATTAAGCAGTTTAGCTTTCTCCCTGCTATTCTTCACGTTCTTGCTGTCATTTTCCATTATCCTGCCTGGTCTAAGATAACATAGCTTCAATGACCCTGTCATTCCCTGTGGACCATTCCCTTCCATTGGATCCCTGATCTTTTCTCCTGCCCCCATCTATTTTCACTAGAAAGTAGTCTGAAACTTTAGCTTCAGTGGCCACTGTTTTTGCATTTTTTTTTAAAAAAAATGATAATGATAAAATGTGAAGTCCTAAAATGTTGTCCTTAAGAACAACATTCTTAATGCAGGGAATTGAAATTGTAGTTGAATGGATTAGACTCTTACCACTGCTGTAACCTATCAGGCAGTACATTCCTTTTCTAGTGACTGCTTCTCCCAGGAGACCTGGGTCAATCCTTCCATTCTTCACATGCTGTTCTTAAGAGTTCCTGTGACGGATTACAGCTCACATACCCACCTTTACAGCCTTTCTTCAACTCTTGGACAGTACTTATCCAACAGCTGTACATATCCAGATGGCCTCTTGAGGGCAGCCAAGAGACTAAAACTCTAACACTAAGAAAGAAATAGGTAAATGATAAGTTGTCTGCAGCTACTATACTCTTTCTTGCTAGAGTCCTACAAGCCCGGCTAACATTTCAGCAGGAAAATCACTGAATAATGATTATGCAATTCTATGTTGTTTTTAGCAGAAAATCAAATAACATTTATATTTTATACACATTTCACCAAACTGTAGAAAATTTCAAGGACATTTTGTCTCTAGTTCTAATTTTAAAAACAAGCGACCCAGAAAATCACCCAAGTGATACTGCATTGAAAAACCAATGTGGCTCAGCTTTAAACATACAAAACCAATTGTACAGCAGATGAGAAACTTCAAAGTAAGGACAGGCACCTTCAATGCCGTAATATACTGCTGTTAAATGTGGAACCTAAGAAAATCAGAAATAGAGAAACTGAATAACGCAGCGTGTGATGGAGGGGCAAGTGCTAAAGATCTTGCTCAGAGACCAACTCCAAAATACAAAAATTCACTGTAGAACCAATTTGAAATATGTCTTCAAAGTAACATAAAAATAGAAAGATGAATAGGCAGGAAATTTATTTGCATACATGGCAACAATGGGCCTGAAAGATGGTATATTGTTCGCTCAATGACTTAGTAAATCTACCAGGTTGACCACCTATGGAGAGATGAAATACAGGAAAACCTTGATTCCAGTTGGAATGTCATAGTATAGGACCATACGCAATACAAACACCTGTTGATATTTTTGCTTTGACAGTGAACCTATCTGAATAAATGTGATGATTGAATCAAAATTTAATAAATGTCTGAAATAGGAGAATTCAATAGAAAATGCCATCTCTCTAGTAATGGAAACTGGATTACTGTTTTGCCCTATGGTACCTGGATTACTGTTTTGCCCTATGCAAAAACAGCAGCAGCAACAATAATAGTGCCTTTCTTTCTTTAGAGCAACTTTAATGGGAGACGTAGGCTAGGTGCTTTCAGGGAAGGCACACTTCTTCTTTTTTTAATAGAAATGCTTGTTCCAGCCTTTCATGCTCAGGTATGAGACCTGGTATTCAGAGTCTTGATGACCTTAGTCTCCATCAATTGCTATTTAATATGAGATTGGCTTATGAGTCTCAGATAAACTATGAGTTAATCTTGGATGAGAGGCTGGCCCAGAATGCATTAGTGAAAACTGGTGTGGCACAGAAGGATGGACCCACTCTTGGAAACAGGCCTAGTAGGTTTCAGGTATGGTACTAGCCACAGTTCCAGGACAGGATTGGGACTGTAACTATTGCCAAAGAAAGTCCAGTTGCCTTTGGAAAACACACCTTTGGGACAACCATGACCTGGATGACTGAGATTCTCCATAGACATATTGCCATCTAGGGGTGCAACTCTGCATGTAATTAAATGTGAGACCCTCTTTGTGAAATTGGGTGATAAGGGTCAGATGGAATTCCTAAGCTGTGTGCAGTACTAGCTTCCCTGCTATGTAGCAGCTTTCTTGCACAAGTCCCTCAACTTTGTGGACAAGTTGACAGTGGAGCCCTTCACTGGAAGGAGGAAGAACCTATTCATTTGTTTTGTCCCAGGTGACTGATAAATCCAGCTGGGTTTCAGAGGGAATTTGAGATTATCTCTGAAATGCTATTGCATACTCTAGCCAAGGCCTTAGCTGCTTGGAATGAATAGTGGACAGTAGCCTTTGATCAGAGTATGCCTGTGCAGATTCTCTTTGATTGGGGAACCTGTAAATCTTCCTTGTTTCCCAACAGCTCCTGCAGATTAAATGTCATAATATGCCTAGAGCACTGCTCGAGGAAGATGAAGGGCAAATCTGATCAAGCACAGGTAAGAGCCTTCATTAAGACTTAACTTGGAAGCAGTAACAGCGGCAAAGTAAGCTCACTTCTCTGTTCTTATTGCACTTGCTGATAAGGTAACTGGCAGCCTTCTTTCAGATGACCACATTCCTCTGGTAAGGAGCTAGAATTTAGTCAGGGAGGTCCTATGAAAGGGACTGAGATCAGAAGAAAGAGAGGAGGTGTGTTTGCCATCTGTGTTTTAGATGCATGTCCTACCTGGTTGATCCAGATCAGCTGGGTTGTGCACTAGTTCGTTCCAAGTGTGGTGAATGTTTCTTTGGGGGGGGGGGTTCCATCTGTTTTGAAGGAGCCAACAGTCTATCCCCTCCTTTAGAAGCCTCCTTGGACCCAAAACCACTGGATAACTTTTCTCTCAACATATAACTTACCTTTCTAGGGAGAGTTGTTGAGAATATGGCAGGTACACAATTTATACTGTAATACTGGGATAGTACACACTTGTGGGTGACCTGCAGAGGGCTCCAAATGGAGACTTTGTGTCTGTAGTAGCCCTTTTAGGTTTCTCAGCAGCTTTCAATACCATGGTATTCTTCTAGACTAGATTGGGAATGGGTGTCAGTGTTTTGCAATAATTCTCTCTCCTATGAGGCCAGCTCCAGTTGGTTTTGATGGGGAGAGGTGCTCACTTTTATTTAACAGCTACTTAAACACCTATCAGCATAGAATGAAATGCCATCAGTATATTAATGATACTCAGCTTTATATTTCTATCCTTGGCAGTACAAGTAACACTGTTGAGGTTCTTAGTGTCTAGAGACTGTGAGGGTTTGGATGAGGGAGAATAGGTTGTAGTAAATCATGCAAGATCAAGGTGCTTCAGTTTTAGATCTCTTTGGTGATATTTCATCTCTTTTGATGGGTACCACTCTCTCCCCCCCACCTCACCTCACCCCACCCCAACAGAATTACTGCATGGTCTTGAAGAACATGGGGACTCTTTGCACAGTTTCATCTTGTATACCAATTGCACCCATCCTAGACCAGAAGACCCAACCCACTGTTATTTATATGTTAGGACTGTGACTTGACTGGATAACTGCAACAGCTCAACATAGGACTACACTTGAAGAATATTGGACATTTCAATTGGTTCAGAATGTAGAGGTATGCACAATTTTGGATTAATTTCTTTAGTAATGGGTTTTTAACTATTTTGTATGTATCATTCACCACCAAGAATTATGTGTTTATGATGGGTAGGCTCTTCTTATTTTATTTGTTCTGGTTTGTTTTGTTTTGTTTTATTGAATTGTATTTTATTTTATTTGCTATACTTTTAGCTACCCAGAGTCATTCCAAGTTGATGGCACCTAAATCAAATAAATTTAATTAATAAACTTGATGTTCCCTAAATGTTTTGGACTGTAGCTCTTCTTGTGTCTGAATCATGCTGTTTGGGCTCCATCCTCAAAGAATTAGTTCAACAATACTGTAGTATGCACTACTTCTACTATTACAGTGGTGATTATTATGAATACTATCAATGTACTCTTTTACAGAAATGCAGAAGTAAAAGGATATTTCACTGCCCATATAGATGAAATATGAGCAAAGCGTGATTTCTTAGAAGACAGGCAAGCACAAGGAATTCAGCTGAGCTTAGCTTTTATCCAGTTTTGTGTTTGGACACAGTATCCCCTCCCCTGCCCCATATTCATGCCAAAATTACATCGTCCATTTCCACTAGTGGCTTTCTTTAAACCAGATGCAGGGAAATGTTGAAAGACATCTTGAAAAGGTGTGTTTGGAAGACCTGCGTTCCAAACATAGAAGTTGATTTTTGATGACAGCGGAGGGCAGAACAGAATGAATTATAGTCACCTATTCTGAGACATGCGTGCAAGATTTTGATTTTTTGCAAGAATGGCAATCTAGCTGATCTAACTGAATCATGAAGAAAGAAATGTGGACATTTCTTTCAGTGAGCAAACTGGACATAGTAATGGCAACAGATACTTATGCTGAGTCAGCAGAAACACACCACTCACAAAGAATATTTATTTACCAATGAATTATTCAACCGCCTTGAATGTCTTCCCCACAGCAATAAGTCTACAATACAAACTAGGACAGCGTACATACCAGCCCTCCTCCGATCACAACTGTAAAGTGGATTCAGGATCATCCTATTGATCAGTGAGAGAAAATTAATCCTTTGCTTTGGGGAGCAGCTTAGACAAAATGACAGTGGGAGTTTCTTTTATGAAGTGCTTTAAGTCCCAAATCAGTACACTCAAATGAAATGTCTCCTCTCTCTCTGCACATATTATATTTTTATCAAGCAAATCTTGTGTAACAAATCTCTAAAGTTTTTAGTCACCCAAGATTCCCCAGTCAAGGCTATTTGTATGAAAAAAAAACTTTAGTGGGACTTCCGGTGGATTTTGCGCGCGCGATGGCGGCTACTTTGTAGCCGTCCTCCTGGGTAAGTGTAAGAACCGCTATGAACAGCAGACATCAGCTGTTCAGCGGTTCAAAATCCCCCTCCCGGGCAAAGGGGGGGGGGTAGAGAGTGTCTGAATAGTGGTAGAGCCTCTTTTGCACCCCCCAAGTTTTTTTTGGGGGGGTGAAAGGAGTGCTCCCACGGAGTTCAGACTTGTCTCCGCTTCCCAGCTGTTTTTGTCCTCAGGGACAAAACGAGCCGCTGCAAACACCTCCGTGCTTAAAGAGAACTGGTGAGTTTTTTTTTTTATAAACGGACAGAGCTGAGTAGAGGATTTAGTTTTTGCTTTCTTTGACTTATTTGGATTTTAAGTTTTAAGACTTGTTTCTATTTTTATTCTCTCTTTTTATTTTTCTTTCTTTGTTGAAAGGGAAAGTAAAATGGCGATCGGCAAATCTCTCGGTGTTTTTTTTCTGGAAGTTAGAATGCTGACCGGCAGGCTTTTTGGTGTTTCTCTTTCTTTCCTTTCCCTTTCCCTTTTTATTTTCTTATGATTGGAATGGTTGTTTTTGGTATCTCTAAGTATTTTTTTGGAACGGACTTTTTCTATTTAATTATTTTTTTTTCTTCTCCCTTTTTTTTTCTTTTCTTTGAACTCCCTTCTTTTTATTGTAATGACCCTTTTTTGAAGGACTTTTTTCTGTTTAATTTTTGCAATTTTTAAGAAGGAGTAAAGCTTTTTTTTAATTCCTTTTCTCTTCTTTTTTTTTCTTCCCTTTTTTCTTTTTATTATAATGACCTTCTTTGGAGGGAGTTATGATTTTTGAAGGAATTTTTATAATTTTTTAAGAAGGACTAAAGGTTTTTCTTTAAGATGGCTCCAAAGCGTCCAGGGATTTCTACAGCTTCTAAATCAACAGTTTCACCCTCTTCTGGGGGTCAGCTAATAACTATGAAGGATTTGCAAGACATGATGGGAGATGTTATAATTCAAATTAGGGCAGAAATGAAAAAGATTTTAGAGGAAAATAATAAGATCTTGAGACAAGATTTTGTTTTGGCTTTAGAAGGAGTTGCTTCTGTTCTTGAAAAGGTGAACTCCCATGTGGAAGAGGTAGCTGAAAAAGTGGACATAATGGAGGGGAAAATTGAAAGTATGGAAAAAGAAATGGAAAATGAGATTCTTATGCTTCAATATGGACAAATGGAATATGCCTTAAGAATTAGGGGCCTGGGAGAGTCTTTGCAAGGAGATCTGAAAGAGATGGTTGCAAAGGACTTTGCATTGATTTTGAATAAAGAAAAAGAGGGAATACTTAGTGAAATTGAAAAATTATTTAGGGTTAACTCTGTGGTGGCAGCACAGAAGAATCTGCCAAGAGATGTGGTAATTTACTTTGGTAAAAGATCTTTACGCAATGAAATTGTGCAAGCCTATTATAAGAAGAGATTTCAAATTGCTTCACAAGATGTTATAATTTTTAAGGAGATCCCATCTAAAATTTTAAGAAGAAGAAAGGAGTTTGCTTTTCTAGCAAATGAACTTAAAAAGAGAAAAATTTTATTCAGATGGGATGTTCCGACTGGAATGGTGGTGAATTACCTGGGGACATGTTATAGACTTAATATTGTTTCTCAAGCAAAAGATTTTTATACTTCGGTCCTGGGAGTATGTGCATCGCCATCTACTAAGTTTAAAGCTTTGGAAGAAAAGAATGTAGAATTACAGTTTGAAGAGCCTATATTTATGAAAACTGGCGAATCTTTGTGTGAGAGGCCTCAACAAGTCCAGGTTGAGGAGCAGAAGACAACTTGTGCAGCATACAATTCCAAAGAAAAGCAGCAACAGAAGAAGGTTAAGGAAGTTTCATATTCAGTGGTCTCTGAATCTCTGGGAGATGTTAGACCTACAAAGTCTTTGGAGCAATCTTCAAGGGTGGAATTGCTGCCTGAAATGGAAATTGGGAAATCTCAGTTTGAGGGGCATCAACAAGAGAGGAATGGGCAGAGGATAACTTGTACAACTTACAATTGTAAAGACCAACACAAGGAGGAATTCAAGGAACCCTTACCTGTATTGGCTTCGGAGTCGATGGGAGATTCAGGAATTTTGGAGCAGTCTCCTAAGGCAGAACTTGCAGCATTTCTTACGAGTTTGATACAAGAATGGAGAAGGGAAATGGAAGAATGGAAGAATGGAGAATGGAAAAAACTGGAATGTGAATAATTAATAATACTACTAATATAATTGAGACTGATAAGGATGCAGTTTCTTACAGATGGAATTTGTTATTAGTGAAGATTGAAATGTTTAATGTGTTTATTATGGATAGGCGTATAAGGGAATTTTGTTGTTTTAAGTTTTGAACCTTTAATGATAATATTGTTTAAATTTGTGTTTTGAAGGGATTATAATTTGCTCATTTTAGTGAGGGGATTCTAATGTTTTAAATTTTAAGTAATGTTTAAATTTGTGTTTTGAAGGGAGTATAACTTGTTTAAGTTTTAAGTATGCTTAAATTTGGTTTTTAAATATTATTAATATTTTTAAGAGAAAATAATTTGTTTAATTAAATGTCTAGATTTGTTTAGGAAAGAAAGTAATGTTTAAATTTGTGTTTTGGAGGGAGTTTATATAGAATGATGATTGTATTTAGATTTGTTTAGGATTTAAAAGTGTTTCTAGTTTTTAAATATTATTATTAATATTTTTAAGAGAAAATAATTTGTTTAATTAAATGTGCTTAGATTTGTTTAGGACTTATAGGTTTTTTAAGTTTTTTCTTTTTGGATAGGAGAGAAGATTATGAAGATTGAAGGAAATATGTATTTACTTTAAGTTTTTTAAGAGTATTTAGTTTTAATGGTATAACAAAGGTTTATATGTTTATTTTTTCGTTTTAGGATAAAGAAAGAGGGAGAAATTAGATTTTACACTATAGATATAGATATTCAAAGAAAGTAATGTTTAAATTTGTGTTTTTGGAGGGAGTTTATATAGAATGATGATTGTATTTAAATTTGTTTAGGTTTTAAAAGTGTTTTAAGTTTTTTTTTTTTTTTAATTAAGCCTGTACTCAGCTCTGGGAAGTCCAGGGGAGGGTTTGGGAGGTTGGGAAGGGGGGGGTGAGGTAGGGTTGGGGGGGGTATGGGAAGGGGATTTGTTTTTGTAAAATGTAAAAAATTTTCAATAAAAAAAAAAACTTTAGTGAACAGGATTTAGATTTACACTAAAATGTAAAGATAAAGAACACATTATTTGGAATTTAAAGAGCAATTCCATCTATGACAAATCCTTACTTTGGAAAGGTTCTAAAATTTAAACCCACTAAGATTACTTGATATTTACCTTTCAAGTGATCAAAATACTTCCAAACATAATGGTACTATATAGTAATTGTTGGAAGGTCCTGTAAGATAGGGCTATGTTATTAAATGAAACTTTAAAAGGCAGAATCCCTACTTACCCTTGGCTTCAAACAGTTAGATTTTCTTTCCAGGAGGCACTGATGTATTTCCAAGTTATATTCAAAAACCAAACACAAGATTTACCTGTCTTTTCACCAAAGGGTGTCTATAATCCTGTGTTCAAAGAGACTGTTTATATTTTACTATCTATAAATTGCTTATGTCAGAAACATCAAACAAGGGTAGCTGATTCTAAGTTGACTTTGCTTATTCATAGTGAGCACTTTTTGTAAACAAATAACTTTGATTTGTTATCTGTTTAGGATGCAAAGTGAGAACACTTAAGGATGTAAGTAGAAGCCGGAAAAACTAAAGTTAATAATACTTCTATTTTTGGAGAGCATTGGATGCTGTTGACTATATATCTTTAATTTAAAATAGATTTTGTCTAGCCCCAAATCATTTTATTTCAGTAAACAAGAAATTTAAAAATTGTATCTTAAAATATTTAAATAAATAATATGTACAGAGGTCACATATTCATAATCAGTTCCGAATCTGTAAATGAGGATAAATAAGTATATGTGTAGTTATGTATAGGTAATATGTCAATCATATTGACACCATGTCTTTTCTTGGCAGGAGTACAAAAGTAATTTACAGAAGTGATTTACCGTTACCTGTTCTAGTGTATTACAGAATTCAAGTCCTGACTCTACCTGACAACCAAGTCCAATACTAGCCAGCGTCAATCCTACTAAGATTTGCTACATGCTGCCATCTAGCTGAGTCAGTGTGTATGTTTGTGTGTGTGTGTTCGTATATGTCTGTGTGACTGTGTGTGTGTGTGTGTGTGTTTGTGAGAGAGAGAGAGAGAGAGAGAGAGAGAATGAGAGTGTTCACACAAACATATGTCAACATGCATTATCACTGTACTTGCCTTGCCCTGCCCACAGATTGTGTATTTTTATTGAAAGAAAAAAATCCATTTTAGATCTAGTTTAATTACTGCAAGCAGTACATTTATAGGAAATAAAGTGGAGAAATTTGGATATGTGATTGTGTGTGCATACATACAAACATTCATTTTGTATTCCTACTGACATTTTGTTTCTGCCCCCAGAGGATGTTGGAAAGAGATGATGTAAAAGGGGTTGGTTATATATGTCTGTTCATCAGCAATTATAATTTTTTGAAAACAGAATGGAACTGGTCCAAATTTGGTACACAGAAAAAGCTGATGTCAGAACTGCCGCCTCACTCTCAGTCTGCCATGAACAGCTGGCAAAAGAAAGATTTTTTAAAATGGCCAGGGGTAGTGGAGAAAAGATCTGGACAAAAAATCCCCACTGCATTCCTATGGGAGAAGCGGAGGGCCCTCTGCTTGGAATTTTGCCAGCCCCTCCCTTCTACACCCCCCATCCTTTCCCTTCCCAATGGTATGCCCTAGAGCAGGTCTATTTTGAGGGCTCAGAAAGGATGTTGAAAGCCATGCTCTGCATTCCTTTCTTAGGCATTGACTGACTGGCAGAATTGGAAATAACTTCCCAGTTGGGACCGTATTCAACTGGAAGGTTCTCACATAAAAAATTGGGAGGAGTTCCAGTTTTCATTTTTGTGGGATTTGGATGAAGAATATTTAGCAGATTGATTTATTTCTTAAAAATCCTTTCAACATTCCAGTGGCGAGAGGATGAAACCATTAAAATTAGGTTTTCAAACTCTCTAGTTCAGAGGCTAACAAAAACACCCCCCCCCAAAAAAAATTCCCATCAGCATTTACACTAGCTTGTTAAAATAAAACATACGCAAAAATGCAACCGACCATACATTTAGGCAAAGCAGAATTGTTATTTTATGCAGCAGAAGTCAGAGTATTGAGTTGCCAAGTGCTTTGCAAGTTGCCTTGCATCTCTTAAACTTGGATGGGAACAATTTTGGTGGTTGGGCCCATTATTCTGGTGGGGTGGCAAAGGCCTCGGTGGATGCAAGCACGATCAGGTTGGAGGTCATGTATGGTTGGAGCTAAGGGTGGTCCATTTTGGAAGAAAAAAAGAGTCAAGATGGGAACTGCAACTTTGCAACTGAAACCTTGACCCTCTTTAATGAGTGCACAATGTATTTCACACATATAAAAAAGGTACAGGGCTCCAATCACATAACAAAGGTGATCAAAGGCCTGGAGACTAAAACGTACAAAGAACGGTTGCAGGACTTGGATTTGGCTAGTCTAAAGAAAAGAAGAAATAGGGGTGACATGATAGCAGTATTCCAGTATTTGAGGGGCTGCCACCAAGAAGAGGGGGTCACATTATTCACCAAAGCACCAGAGGGCAAGACAAGGAACAATGGCTGGAAACTGATCAAAGAGAGAAGCAACCTGGAATTAAGGAGAAACTTCCTGACAGTGAGGACAATCAAACAGTTGAACAGCTTGCCCTCAGAAATTGTGGGTGTTCCATCACTGGAGGTTTTTAGGATGAGACTAGACAGTCACTTGTCTGAGATGGTATAGGTTCTCCTGCTTGAGCAGGGGGCTGGACTAGAAGACCTCCAAGGTCCCTTCCAGCTCTATTCTATTCAACTGTGGCTATCATCTTGACATTTTTGATCACCTTGCCCAGCAGATGCCCTTGCATAGGGCCAAGTTTTTCAGTTTTTTTTTCTTTCTTGACATTTTAGTGAGAGGTTTGGGAGGGCCTTTTTTTCTTCATTAAAAATATGTCAAATCTCTGCAATCTTCATGTATTTGTTGCTTCAAAGTGGTAGGGAAACATGCAAATTATTTTTTGGCATTTGGGATCAGAAGGGCCTCTGGGGATATAAACACAGCTTGCCCATAGTTGTTCTATGTGGTTTTCCTCCCCTTAGATATGATGAAGGTTGCTGCTCACAGCATTTGACACCACCTCTTTTTTATGGTTAAAGCCTGGATTCATACAGAGGGTGGTATGGTTTTCCACAATGTTTTAAATTGCTTTTCTTGGCTTGACCTTTCTTTGGGTACAATCCCAAGACTTTTGTTTGAAGTAGTAGCAAAATTGGCAGCAGTAAGTGAAGAAAATGTCAGAATGTTTCAGGAAAGTTCAGGGATTTGCTTTCTCCAGACACAGCTCAGTTGTTAGAGATGTTTCTAATTCCCTCAGGACATGGAATTCAGGTTGGCGCTTGTTTTCCTGTTACTCTTGTATGGAAGCAAACTATTTCTCCAGTCTGAGTCAGATGTCTGCTGCCCTTTTCTGCTTTGAAATCTGCTCAGATTCCATTTGTGATTTAACAATGAATCCATCAGCCCTGACAAACAGTATGGTTGAGTCAAGGCTTGAGACCATGGTCAATCCTGAGATGCAAATTATCCAGCAAATTAGCTTGTCATATTGTCTGGACAGCAGGCTTTTAAAAAATAGGTCAGCTCAGATTTTACTCTTTACAAGCAAACACAGAGCTGAATGCTGCAAACAAGAGCTCTGTAATCTTTATTTCTGGAGTACAGAATCTTTTCAGAAAAGGAAAAAAACCCCTTTGTGCTGGAAATCTTGTTATCCTGGTGCACTGAGACTTGAAGTCCAAAACATATGAAAAGCTCTTGATTTGAAAAAAATGCTTCAAACTATAACCATCGTTCTGTATAGATGTAGAAAACCAATCTACTGTGCCATTTTTCCTTCTTTGTGTTTTTAACCAATAGCTGAGGTAAGGAGAGAAAGCTGAAGATAGAGAAGAAGCTAGATTAGCCTGGGTGATGTTTCTATCTCTCCCTCCTGCGTTTGTTTGTGCTGGTCATAGATCTAAGGTCCTGAGGAAAGCAAGCTGAGTGTCCAGTTTTTTTCCCCTCTCCAGAGGGTGGTGTCAAAATCTGGCATTCTGGGACCACTGCTAAGCCATCTACATCTGAGTATTGAGATTACAGGAGATGGATGCCCATGAAACTCTGAGCTTCTAAGTAACAGGGCATTGTTTCTGAGAACAACTGAACAATGGCAGCTAGGCAGTGTTTTCACTATCAGATGAACCCAGTAGGGTCCACTCAGATTTGGGGCAAGTGGCTGTCAAACACACAGTTGGCTTTTTCTTTAACCACTTCTTTTCCTTTCCAAACCTGAGGGCCAAGTAAACAACAGTTGAGAAACTAAAATTCAGTGAATAGTGAGTCAAATGGCAGCAGAGGACTAGGAAGAAAAAAAAATGAAGCAAAACTAGAACGATAAACCAGCCTAAACAATCCATTTATTTCCCCAATTTTCAACCATGCCTGGGTTCGGCTTAAAGTTAACCAAGATAGTGAGTTTGAGAAAGGTGGCAATAGCTTGGAAATTGGTTGATACGATAGTTTGGACTAGCTGTCAGACAAGTGTATCCATGTCTAGCTTCAGTTAAAACTGGTAAGTTTAGCCTTTAAATCTTTAAATCCTGCAAACGGCCTAGAAACTTCTTCAGATTCTTACCTGGACCTTAATCTCCACAGTGGTTCTTTGCAAATGGCTGTTAGAAAAGAGTATTTTTCAATTCCAGTGACATGTTTGGAACCTTCCTCGCATGTATGCTTATCTGACATTGGGGTCTTTTCCATGCTAGGTAAAATATCATTTTATTTTCCCAGGCATTTAAAGAACTTCTTTTAATGTCTTTAGATTTTTGCTACTGCTACTTTTTATTCTAGTTCTCTACGTGCTGCTACTGGCTTTATGAATTTATGGCTTATTATGTTTTTAGTTTGTATTCCCTATGTAGAAGATTTTAATTAAAATATAATAAATAATACACTATATTTTAAAAAAATGCTACCTGAATTAAAGATTAATGTAATGCTATTATTCTTCTCTATTCTTAACACAAATATTTGTAGCGACCCTTATACCCTCAGATCTCAATCAATTCCCAGCTCTAAAATAAATCTCTCCCATTTTCTTTCTTTTGTACACTAACTGACACATACATAAACACACTTTGTAGAGAAAGAGGACAGCCCAAACCCCTAATGGACTCCAAGTAGGTCTTTGGATGACAGGTTGTACATCTGTGTTATAATGGAAGGATAGAACAATAAAGCTATTCATTTTTTCCACTGTACGCAAGGATCCCTCTCTTCAAGATGGCCTCCCCAAAGCTTAGTCAGCAGCAGCCTCTGACAATTAGTCAACAAAATAACTGCTGGGGTCCTGGTTTCTAGTAATTAACATTGACACTACTCTCTCCATTACTTCCCACCCTTGCACATTTCCATTCTGTTGAAGACACTGTAAGGGGAGGGAAGGGATGAGAGAAAGACATTGTTCAATTTATCTTGCTAAATGTTAGGAATTTGCATTCCTCTTTGCACAGCAGGGACTGCCTTTTCACCTCCTCTAAGGGTATGCAGACTGCATCAGACATCAGATGTCAAACCTGTCAAAAGTTTACTTAGAAAAAAAAAACAATAACAAACTAAAATATTCAGCATATGCTTGGAGGAAAGTCCCTTTGCAGTCAGTGGTGTTTTCAAAGCAGGGGTTTGGGGGCAGAAGTCTAGGGCCGCACACAGCAGAATAAGGAAGCCCATTACCATATTTTGAAGTTCATGCAAATCAAATCCTGCTCAATGCAGGAATCTAAACTGCAATAGCGCCTGAGAGATGGCTCTTCAACTCCTAAACTATTCTTGCTGTTAGGTGGTTTTTTTCTTAACATCCAACCAATCTGCTTTCCTGGAAGACCATAATTTATCTCTTGCTCTCAGAGATGATAGAGAATAGTTTTTCTTCTGTGTGATACCCCTTCGATACTTGGGAAGTTCTATCTTAAGTTGTCTTGATTGTATCTTCTCAAGACTAATCTAGTTCCAACAATTTCTTTTCATAAAACTTAGTTTTCTGATTATCCTCTTTGACCTTCTTTCTACATATCCTAGTTTGTCTGAATCTTCCTTACAATTTGGTAAGAATAGGCTGCCCAAAAGCAGACACATTTGAACCAATACCTATATCCTCCCACTCCTTGTACTTAACCATGGCACAAATATGCTCCAGTAATAATTTTTTTTGGGGGGGTTATATGACGTTGCTTTCATTGTGGG